AGCAGAAATTTCAATATGACATGCACATGAGATGTTACATGACATTTGGGGGCTAATAAGGAGCAGGAAGTAATAAAAAGTTACTGATACTCATGAGGGTATTTTTATAAGTCTGTAGACACTTTGGTACAGATGTTTCAAGAATGATATCTAAGGGCTGCATCTCTATCCAGTCATAAGCTTTGGAGGCTTTTTCCTCCTGTCATAAAGTATTAGTTTGGTTGTTAATCAGGTTCTTAGAATCAAATTGGAATGATAGCAGAGAAGGTAGGAGTTTTAGTATCCAAAACCCCCTTATGGTTAAAATGATGAAAGTAAAACCAGCATCATCGGCCTTAAGAAATATAAAATACTAGAGGCTCAGTGCTTGAAATTCATTCACAGGGGGTGGGTCCCTCAGCACAACCTGCACCCTCTCCAATCTGGGAGCCGTGATGGCTTAGGCCCACTCCCCATATTTCTCTGCTCTCTGTTAGGCCTGGCTGCTCTGTACACGCTGACCAGAGGCTCTCTGTGGCCCAGAGGCCCTTTGAAGCTGGGGCGGCATGCTTGCCGTGTCACCACAAAGCAAGCATTCTGCCAGGCCACTCATGCTGCCTTTTCTCAGGGGCTGCCTCTCCCCCCCACACCCCCAGGACTGGGGGACTCTGGCAGGGCTGAGGGGACTGGGCATTGGCTTCTTGTGTCTATGGGCACTATCAGCTTTGTGATGGAGTGACAGCTAATTTGCATATTACACTTTTATTAGATAGGAGGATATTCTGGGACTATCGGGATTTATAATATGAAACCCCTAAAAATCTTTTCACAGGTGGTAATTCAGAAATGTGCTCCTTGTAAAGTTGGTAGCAATACTATTCTTCAATTCGTTATCAGTTTAGGTAGTAAAAATGTTCATAATTATATGTCAATATCATATCCTAATTGGAGATTACTTTTATAGATAAGAAAGCTAAGGCTCATAGAGGTTACATGTCTTCCTCAATAGCACACACCTGTAATTGTAGCAGGGTACAAAGGGATTGCAAATGCTTTCAGTAAAACTTCAGAAAACAACTATAATTAATTTCCATAGAATCATGTTTGCGCTCAGAGTAATTAAATTAGGAAATTTCCTTAAAATTTAAGTACTTTACAGTTTTTCTTAACAGTGATTTTCTTTCCACAGCCACTACATAGAGTTTACAAGTCCTTGGAGTGCTCATTGAACACACACATACACACACACACACACACACACACACACACACGATGTGTTAGTTAATCACTTTAAAAATAAATTCCTTTTATTATTTTGGATTTTAGTTTTCTCACATTAAGGAAAGCAGGTCAGCAGGTCAAAAAAGTTCAGGTTTGTGTTTTTTGGTGTTTTTTTTTTTAATTTATTTTCCAATCTCTGACAATTAAAAACTCATAAAGTTTATATAAAATGTCTCTTCTGTGCTAAAAAGAGTTTTGGAAGAAACCTCATGCTGTGGATTTTGGCTACCATTCTTGATTTTATCTCTGATGAAAATTCAGGTAAGGCATTTTGCATTTCAGGTTGTCCTATAACATTAAGTTGTGGCTATTTCATTAGGAAAGAGGTAAGTTTTTATTTCAGCAGTTTATTAACCTATTATTTTAGTTTAAACTTTGAAGTTTTACCAGTTGGTAAAGATAAGAGAAGACTGAGGGAACAGCAATCCTCCAGATTAATTACTTTCTGGAAAAGGCATGAATCATATGTCCCAATTAGTCACTGCTCAGCACACTTCCAGAAGCGTGCCTTTCGAGCTATTTCCAAAAGTGTTGAAGAATCCATGTGTTTACATTGGATTTTGTTATGAACAAAGAAAATACTATTCATTTATTTTCAAAATGCACATGGCACGTTCTGTTCTTTAAGCCAGTTGTCCAGACAAAAGGGCTCCACTTCAAATTGGAAATGGGTTTTATTACCACCAAGACCAGTGTCAGATTATTCAGACATAAACAAAAGAGATGTCAGGACGTGTTAAAACATCTGGGGATATGCTACTCAGGAGTCATACACATTCAACTGTACTAATGCTGTCACTTGTTCATAAATGGCAAGCCCCCAAATACATATCATAGAATGTGATCAAATGGTTTCTTAAACAAGAAGGAAGACACGCAAAATAATTTTCTAGTCCATTTACAAATGCAGTTAAATCTAGAAGTGAAGGTAAGCACTGTTTTAGAATAAATATGATTCTTACCATCTGAGATTGACTCCTAGGACATCCATTGATATCTTCAACTTTTTCATTTGCTAAAGTAAAGAAATAAAATAAAAAAAGAGAAAAAAAAAGAATGATGCTTAAGCAATGACTTGAAACACAAAAGACTAAAACAAAACAAAACACTTAAACAACAAAAAAACAAAATACCAAGCAAAATGCTGCTGCTACATTCACTCTATCTCCCAAGCAGAGTACAAGAGGACACACTTGTTAGCAGCCGACAATTCCATATGCACAAGGCAAAAGAAAAAAAAAGGGAGGGGTGTGTGAGAAGGAAGTTGCTGCTAATTCTTTAGTCCGTGCCAAATGACTGCTGACATGAAACCTTTCACAATTGTCCCCGCTGGGTCAGGATACAGTTTCAAGGAATCTCCGAGTGCGTAAGTTGCTCCAGCTAATGAAATGCACACATGGGAGACATATGGTTTAATGAAGCATTCATTTCTGACAACTCAGTGGATGTATGATACAGTTCTAACCATTCAAAAGTGTGACCACACTGCCTTTTTCAAACATTGCCACAAAAACATTTCCATTGAAATCCCGGGAGAGCTGCATTAGTCTCAGACACATGGACCAAGTTTGTATGCATTTTACTTAAACTGTGTGTCTCCAAAAGGAGTGGGAGCAGCGCCAATTGGGTTTTCTCTCGCGGGGCAGGGCTTACCTATGATCTGGATGATCTCGGCTAGCAGCACCCCATCTGCAATGTCTTGTTGCAAATCCTTGATCAGCCTCTTGTGGCCCGATTTTGCCAGGTAGTGGTTGGCCCAGTCCGTGTAAATCTGCGGGTCAGAGGGAGGGGAGAAGTGAGATGGGCTGAGGGGAGAAGTGAGGTGGGCGGAGGGAAAGGAGCTAATAAAAACTCCGAAGACAAATGCTGGATTCAAAGGGAAGCTATTCTGAATCACATTCCAGTTTACGAAGTCATGGCTCAAAAGGAAATAGTTGTAAAAAATTTTAAACAGCTCTTTCCTCCACTTATCTCTTGTTTCAAAGGGAGATGATTCACTCTTTCAAAACCAGGGGCTAGTCACTAGTGACACAGCAAAACTCCCTTCCCAGATGACTCCTGTTTGCAAATCCGTTTGGGATTTCACTCTCTTCCCTCTGATTCTATCAGATGGTAAATAAACTGTCTAGCCTTGTAGAAGGACACCACCTGGACTGATTTCTACAGAAACCCTACTTAAAAAAATGTGTTTCTCTGAGAAGACTTCATTGCATTTGTCACATGTGATACTATATGTGTCAATAATTTTGGCATCATTTTAGGAATAAATTGCAAATCACTAAGATATTTTATTCAGACCGTTATCTCCCGTTTCAGCCTCTTGAAATGAGTTTATATAAGAGAAGGGAGGAACCAAATGCAATTATTACATAGAAACTACAATACAGAATTGAAGACACTGGCCATTTGACACAGTAAAAGTGACTCCAGTAACAGATTATGATAGAAGAAAAAGTTGGAACTGGCCCTAAGTTTCACAAAAATAAAATGTTACCAGTGTTTCAGATGGAATGGGGTCCCTACTCATGTAATGTAACCTAACAGAAAGGATAAAAATGTTCAGACTTTTCAGTTTTAATTAAAACAGTATTCTGAAAGTGTATTAGACTGGAAAGGTTGAGTTGTAGCTTAAATCATAAGCACTGAATACCAACCAGACTGTAAAAAAGCACTATTTTATATCTAACAAAACCAAACATAGTTTTTTAAAAAATAAAATGAATCAAAAGTGAAAGTCTTCCCACAACTTGCAACCCCACCCACTTTGTAATAATTTGGCATGAATAGTTGTAGAAGATTTTTCTAGAATTTTACACTTTATATAACACCATGTTACACACACACATACACACACACACACACACACACACACACACACTAGGATTTTAGGCTAAAGCTGGCTCAAATTTTATATACCATTTTAATAAAACTTTTAAACCCATATCACTTATATTTTCCCATATATTTATCTCATTATCTTTGATTTTCTATTATACATATCAATCCCCCTGTTGAAGGATGTTTAATTTGTTTAAATATATTTTCATTGCAACTAAAGTTGTAAGACACCTTTACATACATATCTTTGCACACTCATATGCTTGTGTTCTTACCTAAAAGTAGAGCTGGTAAGGTTTTGTGTGTGTGTGTGTGTATGTGTGTGTTTTAATGGATCCTATATATAAATATAAAAAAATAAAAAATACAACCTAGAAGATAGAATATTTCTTTATTTTACAAAATATAAAGTTGGATCTTATTGCATAAGCAGTAGTGATTACATTTTCTGGAAGATATAAATAATTGGAAGCAGCCATTTGCATAGGAAAAAACATGACAGCAAAATTACATCTCCTTTCTTATGTTCATGATCTTTGATGAAAATATTCAAGCGTGAGAAAAGTAAGTTGTATAATTGTCTTCAGAATTAGAAAACAAGCACATGACTTCTAGATGGTGATCATTTTTCTCAATAAAAATTTTATTCTTCTTGTATTATTATAAGATTTTATTTTTATAAGGATTTATATACAATTTAGGATCTAAAACATTGACACATTTCCCTCATCTCATTTATACATCAAACAAAATATAGCATTAATTGTTTCACCTTCTAGTAGAAATTTCAGGTTGACCCAATATTTTTAAAATAGTTTTAAATTGAATTTATTGGGTGACATTGGTTAATGTCACCCAATTACAATTATATAGGTTTCAGGTGCACAATTCTAGACTATATCCATCTGTATACTGTATTATGTGTTCACCACCCCAAGTCAAGTCTCCTTCCATCACCATTTATTCCTCCTAAACTCTCTCCTACCTCCTCCACCCCCCTCTCTCCGGTAATCACCATGCTGCTACAGGTTGACCCTGTCTTGATTTGTGCCTATATAGCAGTGAGTTATAAGAACAATTTGAGTAACTTTAAAGATAAAGAAAGTAAGTTCTGGAGTCAGGCAGACCTGGCTCTGAGGTAAGCAGATTCCTCATTTATAAAATAAAAATATCATTTTACATTACAGGATTGTTTCAGATAGCACTTATAAAGTACATGTCACAGAGTCAGCCCTGAAGAAATGTCTATTAGCATCATTAGTATGGCATCTGGTGTTTGCTTTGATAGCTTTCCAACAATGTTAAAGGTATCATTTGGCAGAGGGTTAAAAATTAAAGCAGATTGGTAAAAGAAGATGAAAGAAATTGTACTGCTCACTCCAACATTACTCATATCTCTGACTCTTCCTGACCTCTGATGCCCTGGGTCCACAGATCTATCCACCCTCCAACCCAGAGGAACATATCTGATTGTAAGGTGTCATGTTCTCATGCAGACCTGCAATGCCTCCATTGGGTCATCACTCCATAAAACTCCATATTTCATAGATTTTCTTTTATGAAGGCATTACATTATGGAAAATTTTTATCTAAATAGATACAGAATGAAATACATTAAAAAATGAAAACAAGAAGCCAGGCTGGTGTTGCTCAGCAGTTGAGCATCAATCTATAAACCAGGAGAACATGGTTTGATTCTTGGTCAGAGCAAATGCCCAAGCTGCTGCCTCCATCTCCAGTCAGGGGCATGCAGAAGGCAACCGACCAATGATTGTCTCTCGTCACTGATGTTTTTATTCATCTCCCCACTCTCCCTTCCTCTCTCTGAAATCAATAAAAACATTTTTAAAAAGTGAAAACAAGAATATTTGCATTTTCCAAATGCATGCCAACAGTACCTTATCCTTTATCTAAATCCCTCCCACAACTTAGTTGAGAAAACCAATAGTAAGCCAGCAGCTAAGCTTCAAGACCTTATTGGGAAAGTCTATAATTTGGCTCATGAAACAATTTTTCATGGACCAGGAATCCTACACTTAAGAGCTTTGACTTGTAGAAGGAAGTCACCTGATTTCTACAGAAATTCTACTATAAAAATATATGTTTCTCTGAGAAGACTTTAACATATGAAGTTTTGCTCAGACAGTAGCTCTGACTTTAGCTGCAATAAAAAAAAAATCAATTCGGACTACATAAATGAATTTAAAATAAATCTCTGTTAAAAACTAAGTCTTATGCACATTATTTTACTTATTCTTTCTAATAGACATATGCAAAAGATACCTAAGACCCTTCAAGTATATCAGTGCCTTTCAAAAAGATGTTATAATCTAGGTAAGGAACTCTCTTATTTAAAAGGCCTGTGGCTGTCACACTATAACACCACCATGACCAAATGAGCAGCAGCTCTTGCAGAGGGTGGGGTGGGGTGCGAGCTTCTAGCAGCAGAGAGCAACTAGCAGCAGAGATCTATGAGCAGCAATGGGCGGGGCAGCCAGCAAGCAAGTGAAAGCAAGCTATTTGCTCATGATTTCATGTGCTCTGGGCCTCTAGTATAAAATAATAAAAAACTTAGAAAATGGCCGAAACCAGTTTGGCTCAGTGGTAGAGCTTCGGTTTGCAGGGTTCGATTCCGGTCAAGGGCATGTACCTTGGTTGCAGGCACATCCCCGGTAGGGGGTGTGCAGGAGGCAGCTGGTCGATGTTTCTCTCTCATCAACATTTCTAGCTCTCTATCTCTCTCCCATCCTCTTTGTAAAAAATCAATAAAATATATATATATTTTAAAAACTTAGAAAATGTATATGTAAAATATCATATGAATATTTTTCTATCTTTTAAAAATAAAAAAAGTAGAGATATACGGTGTGTCTTTAATGAGGCAGTCTTCAGCAAAGGACACATAGACTATCAAAGTATTTAAAACTCATAGGTAAACTTATTGTAATATTCTGATGAGAGCAGATGAAAACCACCTAGTCAACTGTCATTCGAATCTGTTAAAAAAAAAAACACACACACACAACAGAATGATGAAATTATGTCTGGATTTTGGATCTGAACTCCAAAGTTGTCCATGGTTCATTTTCACAAAAAATATATTAGTGAATCTTTTGGTGTATAAGACACCCCACACTTTTCCAACACAAAATTAAGAAATCAATATCTACACTAATAAAAGAGAAAGATGCAAATTGACTGTACATTCATGACACCCACCAGCCAATCAGGAGTGAGTATGCAAATCAACCCAACAAAGATGTCAGGTGTCGTCATGAAGACAACACAGGCATTCTGCACACCCCATCCACTTCAGGCCTCTGGGCAGCATGGGAAGGCAGAAAGGTGGCTCTGGACCAGAGCATAGGTAAAAAGGTGGCTCTGGCCAGAGCCAAGGCAGTGCCAGCAACCAAGGGAAGGAAGACCCATTCTTGCATGAATCTTTGTGCATTGGGCCTCTAGTCTATATATAAAAGGCTAATATGCCAAGTGTCCTTCCCACTGTTTGACCGGTCACTGTTAGGTGCACTACCCACCAGGGGGCAGATGTTCAATGCAGAAGCTGCTGTGTTGCACACAGAGAAACAGTACCATGGATCTGGTGCCCACAAAGCAACATTTGGCTTCCCCCAAGTGGGACACAGGCTCTGCCATCACCCCAGAGTGACAGCTCACCAAATTGCAGCCTATGCTGCCATGGCACAAGATGCAGCCCACAACCCAGCCCAGCCCAGAAAGGGTGGCTGTGGACACTGGGTAACTACTTCATGTTTTTGTTGACATTCTGAAGCTGAAATTATTGAAAGAATAAGTCTGAAGACCAACTATCGCCACAACATACCTCTGAAGCCAAAAGAATGTGATGTACTTGTCAGAATATGACTGAAGAATAGTCATCAACAAGTACTACTGACATTGGTAGGAAATGCCTTCATAATGAAAATGAGGTAAATGAGGGTGCAGCTATCAGAACACAGTTGTGGTGGAATGACTGTTACGTGTCAATTTTGTCTATCCCTAAATTTCTTGGGTGAAAAATCATCTCATGAAAAATTTACTCAATTTTGTAGCAAAGGCAAAGTTTGTCCAAATGATATAAATTTTCCAGAATATCTGGCATATTTTAAAAAATTAATGATAAATAAAGATTATGACAGAAAAAATTAATGAAAATATTCGTTATTATATCATGTTGTTATTGTTTATTAATTAATCAATTTATATATTACTTTCATGTACATTTTACTGTTTTTTTCATCTTTGACACTTCTATTATAGAGAAAGGGCGAATAGTAATATTATAATATTTCTTCTAATTAATTTCCTTTCAATGTGCACAAATTTATGCACCAGCCACTAGTTTTAAATATTAAACAGAACACATTTTTATTTAGTAATCACTGCAGGTAATGTTTACATACCAATACTACGATATTATGCGGCATGTCACTTTATCCAGTCTGTTTGCATCATTACTCTCTTCATTTCCATTAGTTCCAGACATATCAATTTCTTTAACTTCTATTGTATCACTGCTGTCTTCTGAGTCACTGTCTATATATGTGAGATCATCCTCATAAACTGGTGGCATTTTCTGAACTAACTTTGTCCGTGTTCTCATGGCCAACCCTTCTCTCATGAAATTGAAGCACCATTTTGTAAATGCACCCTTCCTCTAAAATCAACAATGTTGATTTCACTTGCAATCATTCTTGCCTGACATTGAATAAGCTTGGTTGACACACATAAGCCAATCTGGTGCTGCTCCATAATCCAAGTTTGTCCATTTTGCTGGTTTTCCTCTTAAGGCCTTCTTCTTTTTTGGCATCTTAAGGAATTGTTCTTCCTGTTTTCTTTACTGTCTGATCATACACTCAGTGGGAAGAGGTCCAAATTGTCTCTTCACAGCTCTATGTCCATGCTCTTTTGCAGAGCTGATTACATTCAGTTTGAATTTTGCAGAATAAGACAATCGCTTACCAGTATTTGACTTTTTATATCTTTATGGGCTTAAAAGGCTCCACTCTACTTCCTGCTGAATCTGCACACTTACCACCTCCACCTCCAATTACAGCATCAGCTGACATCAGTAACAATAAGGCTGGTGATTGAAGGAGCCTGTTTGACAAAGTATGGGCAGCTAAGTACCTGCGTGACTCCCCAGCTGACATCCATGTATAAGACACCCCTCAATGTTCAGTCTAATGATTTTCGAAAAAAATAGTTTCTTATACACAGAAAAAATATGGTAATCATAGTATTTAACTTGTGAGTTTCAGTTAAATAAGCTATAGAAAGTAAGCTAATGTACTTTGTAGGATGTGGTAAAAACTGTGGGGTTTTTTTAATGAAGAAATTGAAATAATTGGGAACAGCATCAAATTAATCATAAATCAATGTTTGGTATTCTCTGTACCAGTGTCAATAAGTATTTTTGTCTTCAAGGTTCTGGTCAAAGCTTTAATAAGATTTACCTCTATACAACTGAAGCCAGTTTTTCTCAACTGTTTCAGCTGTAATTTAGGAACATAAATGCTATCTCATTAATCATTTCAGTTAATTCAGAAGAATTAATAATACTAAATTGACCAAAGGGCTTCTTATAATTTCTAGCATAATTATATACATAATACTTACTTTACTGTAATTAAAATAATAATAAGAAATACAATGGCATATTTTATATTTCATTATCAGCATGAATTTAGAAACTATTAGACAATAGCATATGCTCTTTAAGATTATTTCTATATTGTTTTTTTTAAATAAATCTTTATTGTTTAGATTATTACAAATGTGATCCTCTTCCCCCCCTCAATTGCTCCCCTTCACCAGGTTCCCACCCCACCCTCTGTCCTTTCCCCATCCCCCATTGTCCTCATCCATAGGTGCACAGTTTTTGTTCAGTCTCTTCCTGCACCCCCACTCTCCTTTTCCCTGAGAATCGTCAGTTCACTCCCCTTCCATACCTCTGATTCTATTATATTTACCAGTTAATATTGTTCATCAGATTTTTAAATTC